TTAGGTCCTCCAGAAACAAACTCTGATATGAAACCCCCATTGAGCTCATCGTCATATCACCTATGAAGTCGCCTGTAGATATGTCGTCTAATCCCTTACGAGAGATATAAATAATGAATCTGTATCTACTAAACTGCCCTTTCTTCCACTTTCTCCAAGAATGATATAATTTTAGTCTAGCTAGGGCCGGACGTATGAAGCCAATACAACGTTAACCGTTGAAGAAACGTCATACACCTCTTCTCTAAATTCCAAGTTACGAGAAGGGTTTCTTCGTTTTTACCGGGAGAACTGTATTTACATGAATAGAAGGATTAGTCCAGCATATCAAAGAATTCACCACAGTCTCTGACTATCGAGGTTTTGTTTTGGTTTTCTTTTTGAGCAAATTTACCCCAAAAAGAATTCAGCATAAGTTTAGCTAACGATCTCAAACAGGGGTTCTCTATAATTTTTGAAAATTCCAGCTTTATGTCCTCTGTATCCAAAAATGCATCAATATAACGGTTTTTTTCTTCATCCGTTAAGCAATGTTTGGGCCATCCTGAAGCTTGTTGTTTTATTTGTAGAAACTTGTTCATCATTCCGCTAAATAACCCCTCTTGGTCTTTACTGAGCTGAATTGTATCGTATTCCCATATTTCGTAAGTCTCTATAATTTGGTAACCTTTTTCAATAGCTTTGAGCACCTCTTCTATCACCCAAGTTCCTTTTAGGCTTCTTTCTTGAATAGAATGCTGACACTCTTCTCGAACGAAATCTTCACCACATTTTTGACAGTTAACAAACATCAATTTGTTGTTCATTTTTGACGGTAAAACGGGTGATATAAGTTCTGGTTCGGTAGAATCTGGCATTTAATAAGTCCTGACATCTGCGACAGAGAGGCTGTAACACATTCTTCACCTACGTAAATTTTTTTGGATGACCCACCGGAAATTTTCCATATTTACAGATGAAGGGGTACAGGGAACATATATCGACATATTTTATGCATTCATTTGTTTTGATCTTGTAGTATTCAACGATATTTTCTGTACGTCCCCCGTAGAGAGCGTCTCTGGGGTTAATCGGTAAATTGATTATCAATGGATGTGCTTCTGTGAAGGCTCTAATTTCATCGTTTAGCATTCCTCGAAATTGACATTCCCATATCTCAATTACTTCTAGTCCAAGGCTTCGGAGTCTCTCTACTTTGCTAACTGATTGTTCGTATCGACTTTCCAATGTATTCAACGGATCATTATGCAGAGGATTGCTTCTGTTGTATTTGAAACATCGAGGGCAACCGTGAAAATAGCATCCTTGGAATTCAAACACTTGATTTGTGTCGCTACAAAAACCGTCTACTTTATGTCCCTTAACAATGGTTTCTATACCCTTAGCGGCGTGTTGAATTTTGATTCCTCTTTGATGTTCCTCCCACAACATCCATTGGATGGCAATTTTTGACTGATTTTCACGCCATCTATAGCCCCCTTTTGGAATTACCCCCGATCGTCTCAGGTTTTAAAAAATTGCGTCTAAAGACTTTGTTACAGCATGATGCAATAGTGGTGCTTTCCTGGAAGGGATCGACTGTGGTTTCGGTTTTCATCAGGTCTCGAAATTTGAGACACGCCTGTGTCAATATTTCCACATCGGAGATACAGTATTCAACGATTTCTTTCTGAAAATCAAAAACGTATCCCTCCGCTTGTCTTTTGCCATGCCATTTTAATAATTTTTCTCGAGTGTCTTCTTTTAAATGGTCGGGATCGTAGAAGTCGAGCGCTGGAATTGGCCCTAGATAATTCTGATGAGCCAAAGTGTTGAATAGATGTGGAAAGTATCCTTTCTTTAGCTCTTTCAAATCAAACGCCTTGGGTAGAGCAGTTAGAGGCATAGGAAAATAATTGAGAGAATCCAGAAATTTTACATTTCCTACCTCCATCAATATTAATTTTGTTCCTCTCATAATTACATTTGGGTACAGACTAGTCTTCTCTAAAATGTAACGAAGTAGAAACTGATGATCAAATCCTCCACCATTATGCGCCAGTACAATGACTTTCTTGAATTTTTTACGAAGTGTCAGAATATGATGCATAAATGGAGAAATGACGTCTTGACATCGAAGAATCTGTAATCGAAGGCCACATTTCTTGCATATAGGATTATCGGTACATGATTCACAACATTGTTTGAATACACATAGATTTGGCTCATGAAGTAAGATCCGTTGGGTAATTCCTTCTCCTGACGGGTTTCCAAATCGTAAAATATTAATAAGACATCATTTGATTTTGGAATACTTCTGTCAGGCTGTATATAGCACATATGTTCAATTGGTTGATTTTTATAACATGTTTTACAAAGTATATGTCCGCAGATGTGATTATTACCGTTGTGAACTTTAAAACAGTCTACACATCTTTTAATTTTAGAACAGACCGATGGTAAATGAGCGTTAAAACATTCTTGTCCATAAAAGCTTCTATTACATTCTTTGCATTCGATGTGCTTCGTTTTCAGGCAGGCCGGAGATCTTTTACAAGCATAACATTGTTTATCACATCTATGAATTTGTTTATTATTATACGGAATGTGGCAGTTCTCACAAAAATAGCTGCAGCAAAAGGCAGCAGTGAGGGATGTTATGACGCTGTAGTGCCCCTCGTGATAGATTAGGTTAAGCGTCGAACCAGTGGACACGCCTTCAAAAATGACGTCACGACCTTTGCACCCAAACTTGTATACAACAATTTTGTAGTTTTGCAGATATCGTTGTAGCTTTTGAAGTTCAGGTATTCCACACCCCTCCTCAGGGATAACAATATCAGCCTTTTCCACAAGTTGTGCAGCTCTTTGTCCTTGTATTTTTCCTCGATCGAGGCGGATTCTGCTATAATCTTTGTCTTTGTTCAAATGGGCCATGGCGATGACAAGGGCTCGTGGGAGACACAAATTATCGGTGTTTTTAACGGTGATAATACCTCTTCTTTTGGTGCATTCCTCATCAAAAGTATTGAAATTCTGACCTCTACCACGACCAGCAGGCAACCTTATGGACGTAACTCCCAAGCAAAAAGTCTCGGTATTCAACCCCACAGAATTTGACTGATAGATGGAAGATATCTTCTCCCATATGTCCTCATTTGAAACGTCGGAAAACGATTTAAAAGCTATCCACCCTTGACCGCGGGTAAAGTCTTTGGAACAGAAAGTGAATCCAACTTGATCACTGGGCTGGAGATGTTCAGTTCCTTTGGCTACTATTTCCTCCAGAGCGTCTTTGATCCATCCCACAGGTTCGACGTCTTTAGGGATAGGTCGTATTTTAAATTCCACTTCTCGCCCATATAGATTAAATTTTTTAATCTTCTTAGTAGAATCCTTAACGATGAAGAATTTTTCCATTTTTTTAAAAACTAAAACGTTAACTAGCGACTAAATCTGAACTGAGCACGTCTGTTCGCTGTAGCTAACTGACAAGATAATTTGCGATGATTCATAGGTATTTATAATCTCAATTATACCCCCACCACTTTTTAACTGACCACAGTGTTCCAAGGTCACCGCTGGCCGGTATTAACTAGTTGACAGCCTGCGCTCCCTGCCCATTCACCCATGCTTGACAGCCCCGCCCGGTACTTCTTGCATATCACAGCTACGACTACACCGGCGCTGAACCTAACCTCATTTGCGACGTAGGTGATTGCCTTGTTGGAATCTATTAGATACACAATATAGACTGTACTATGTTTTCAATATTGTATCAATGTTAAAAATTAACTAACATTAACTGTATGCACCACATATGAGCAATTCCATTTTTATATGCACACTGAATATGACGTGATGACTATTGAGATCATCCTATACGCATTGTTCTCCGCGAATTTTATACGTTTTTCCAATTAAACTGAATCCGCAGAATTGCATCTATAATTACCAGTATTCATCGGCTTTTATCGATCTATATGCAAATATTTACCGCAAAACATGAAATGAGTCACATCACTTACGCATAGACGTTATACTACACCTTACTATCGTTGGCTGTCTGAATCACTTCCGGTCGGGTGCGGCATCTAGCCCGCTAATCAACATATACCATCAACCCCGTTCAAATTTCCCGCCGTCTGATCCGCCAATCAGAGCACGCGGTGGATCTAGCGGTTCCCGCCAATCAACATATACCATCAACCCCGTTCAAATTTCCCGCCGTCTGATCCGCCAATCAGAGCACGCGGTGGGCGTGGCCAAAGTGGAAGTGGTGGGGGGTGTCCATAGTAGCCCATATTCTACCAAAGTAGTATATTTGTAGGCGTAGTTCTTAGGTCCTCCAGAAACAAACTCTGATATGAAACCCCCATTGAGCTCATCGGTCATATCACCTATGAAGTCGCCTGTAGATATGTCGTCTAATCCCTTACGAGAGATATAAATACATGAATCTGTATCTACGTAAACTGCCCTTTCTTCCACTTTCTCCAAGAATGAATATAATTTTAGTCTAGCTAGGGCCGTGACGTATGAAGCCAATACAACGTTAACCGTTGAAGAAACGTCATACACCTCTTCTCTAAATTCCCAAGTTACGAGAAGGGTTTCTTCGTTTACCGGGAGAACTGTATTTACATGAATAGAAGGATTAGTCAGCATATCAAAGAATTCACCACAGTCTCTGACTATCGAGGTTTTGTTTTGGTTTTCTTTTTGAGCAAATTTACCCCAAAAAGAATTCAGCATAAGTTTAGCTAACGATCTCAAACAGGGGTTCTCTATAATTTTTGAAAATTCCAGCTTTATGTCCTCTGTATCCAAAAATGCATCAATATAACGGTTTTTTTCTTCATCCGTTAAGCAATGTTTGGGCCATCCTGAAGCTTGTTGTTTTATTTGTAGAAACTTGTTCATCATTCCGCTAAATAACCCCTCTTGGTCTTTACTGAGCTGAATTGTATCGTATTCCCATATTTCGTAAGTCTCTATAATTTGGTAACCTTTTTCAATAGCTTTGAGCACCTCTTCTATCACCCAAGTTCCTTTTAGGCTTCTTTCTTGAATAGAATGCTGACACTCTTCTCGAACGAAATCTTCACCACATTTTTGACAGTTAACAAACATCAATTTGTTGTTCATTTTTGACGGTAAAACGGGGTGATATAAGTTCTGGTTCGGTAGAATCTGGCATTTAATAAGTCCTGACATCTGCGACAGAGAGGCTGTAACACATTCTTCACCTACGTAAATTTTTTTTGGATGACCCACCGGAAATTTTCCATATTTACAGATGAAGGGGTACAGGGAACATATATCGACATATTTTATGCATTCATTTGTTTTGATCTTGTAGTATTCAACGATATTTTCTGTACGTCCCCCGTAGAGAGCGTCTCTGGGGTTAATCGGTAAATTGATTATCAATGGATGTGCTTCTGTGAAGGCTCTAATTTCATCGTTTAGCATTCCTCGAAATTGACATTCCCATATCTCAATTACTTCTAGTCCAAGGCTTCGGAGTCTCTCTACTTTGCTAACTGATTGTTCGTATCGACTTTCCAATGTATTCAACGGATCATTATGCAGAGGATTGCTTCTGTTGTATTTGAAACATCGAGGGCAACCGTGAAAATAGCATCCTTGGAATTCAAACACTTGATTTGTGTCGCTACAAAAACCGTCTACTTTATGTCCCTTAACAATGGTTTCTATACCCTTAGCGGCGTGTTGAATTTTGATTCCTCTTTGATGTTCCTCCCACAACATCCATTGGATGGCAATTTTTGACTGATTTTCACGCCATCTATAGCCCCCTTTTGGAATTACCCCGATCGTCTCAGGTTTTAAAAAATTGCGTCTAAAGACTTTGTTACAGCATGATGCAATAGTGGTGCTTTCCTGGAAGGGATCGACTGTGGTTTCGGTTTTCATCAGGTCTCGAAATTTGAGACACGCCTGTGTCAATATTTCCACATCGGAGATACAGTATTCAACGATTTCTTTCTGAAAATCAAAAACGTATCCCTCCGCTTGTCTTTTGCCATGCCATTTTAATAATTTTTCTCGAGTGTCTTCTTTTAAATGGTCGGGATCGTAGAAGTCGAGCGCTGGAATTGGCCCTAGATAATTCTGATGAGCCAAAGTGTTGAATAGATGTGGAAAGTATCCTTTCTTTAGCTCTTTCAAATCAAACGCCTTGGGTAGAGCAGTTAGAGGCATAGGAAAATAATTGAGAGAATCCAGAAATTTTACATTTCCTACCTCCATCAATATTAATTTTGTTCCTCTCATAATTACATTTGGGTACAGACTAGTCTTCTCTAAAATGTAACGAAGTAGAAACTGATGATCAAATCCTCCACCATTATGCGCCAGTACAATGACTTTCTTGAATTTTTTACGAAGTGTCAGAATATGATGCATAAATGGAGAAATGACGTCTTGACATCGAAGAATCTGTAATCGAAGGCCACATTTCTTGCATATAGGATTATCGGTACATGATTCACAACATTGTTTGAATACACATAGATTTGGCTCATGAAGTAAAGATCCGTTGGGTAATTCCTTCTCCTGACGGGTTTCCAAATCGTAAAATATTAATAAGACATCATTTGATTTTGGAATACTTCTGTCAGGCTGTATATAGCACATATGTTCAATTGGTTGATTTTTATAACATGTTTTACAAAGTATATGTCCGCAGATGTGATTATTACCGTTGTGAACTTTAAAACAGTCTACACATCTTTTAATTTTAGAACAGACCGATGGTAAATGAGCGTTAAAACATTCTTGTCCATAAAAGCTTCTATTACATTCTTTGCATTCGATGTGCTTCGTTTTCAGGCAGGCCGGAGATCTTTTACAAGCATAACATTGTTTATCACATCTATGAATTTGTTTATTATTATACGGAATGTGGCAGTTCTCACAAAAATAGCTGCAGCAAAAGGCAGCAGTGAGGGATGTTATGACGCTGTAGTGCCCCTCGTGATAGATTAGGTTAAGCGTCGAACCAGTGGACACGCCTTCAAAAATGACGTCACGACCTTTGCACCCAAACTTGTATACAACAATTTTGTAGTTTTGCAGATATCGTTGTAGCTTTTGAAGTTCAGGTATTCCACACCCCTCCTCAGGGATAACAATATCAGCCTTTTCCACAAGTTGTGCAGCTCTTTGTCCTTGTATTTTTCCTCGATCGAGGCGGATTCTGCTATAATCTTTGTCTTTGTTCAAATGGGCCATGGCGATGACAAGGGCTCGTGGGAGACACAAATTATCGGTGTTTTTAACGGTGATAATACCTCTTCTTTTGGTGCATTCCTCATCAAAAGTATTGAAATTCTGACCTCTACCACGACCAGCAGGCAACCTTATGGACGTAACTCCCAAGCAAAAAGTCTCGGTATTCAACCCCACAGAATTTGACTGATAGATGGAAGATATCTTCTCCCATATGTCCTCATTTGAAACGTCGGAAAACGATTTAAAAGCTATCCACCCTTGACCGCGGGTAAAGTCTTTGGAACAGAAAGTGAATCCAACTTGATCACTGGGCTGGAGATGTTCAGTTCCTTTGGCTACTATTTCCTCCAGAGCGTCTTTGATCCATCCCACAGGTTCGACGTCTTTAGGGATAGGTCGTATTTTAAATTCCACTTCTCGCCCATATAGATTAAATTTTTTAATCTTCTTAGTAGAATCCTTAACGATGAAGAATTTTTCCATTTTTTTAAAAACTAAAACGTTAACTAGCGACTAAATCTGAACTGAGCACGTCTGTTCGCTGTAGCTAACTGACAAGATAATTTGCGATGATTCATAGGTATTTATAATCTCAATTATACCCCCACCACTTTTTAACTGACCACAGTGTTCCAAGGTCACCGCTGGCCGGTATTAACTAGTTGACAGCCTGCGCTCCCTGCCCATTCACCCATGCTTGACAGCCCCGCCCGGTACTTCTTGCATATCACAGCTACGACTACACCGGCGCTGAACCTAACCTCATTTGCGACGTAGGTGATTGCCTTGTTGGAATCTATTAGATACACAATATAGACTGTACTATGTTTTCAATATTGTATCAATGTTAAAAATTAACTAACATTAACTGTATGCACCACATATGAGCAATTCCATTTTTATATGCACACTGAATATGACGTGATGACTATTGAGATCATCCTATACGCATTGTTCTCCGCGAATTTTATACGTTTTTCCAATTAAACTGAATCCGCAGAATTGCATCTATAATTACCAGTATTCATCGGCTTTTATCGATCTATATGCAAATATTTACCGCAAAACATGAAATGAGTCACATCACTTACGCATAGACGTTATACTACACCTTACTATCGTTGGCTGTCTGAATCACTTCCGGTCGGGTGCGGCATCTAGCCCGCTAATCAACATATACCATCAACCCCGTTCAAATTTCCCGCCGTCTGATCCGCCAATCAGAGCACGCGGTGGATCTAGCGGTTCCCGCCAATCAACATATACCATCAACCCCGTTCAAATTTCCCGCCGTCTGATCCGCCAATCAGAGCACGCGGTGGGCGTGGCCAAAGTGGAAGTGGTGGGGGGTGTCCATAGTAGCCCATATTCTACTTACATGTTTATTAAAAAATATTTACATACATTAACAAATCAATATTTTATTTTCTTAAATCCAAATGGTACAGAGGTATGATCTGCATAGAATTTCCTTTTCATTGAAGTTATCTTGTATACCTTAGGAAACTCGACTGTTACTACTGCATGCTCTCTTGTACGTCGTAGCTGTCGAGAAAGTACAGAAACAGGAACAGATTTCTTCAGCACCATGTCTTTTATTTTCTCAAAATTGACCACTTGGGATGCCTTGTAGTTGAGTGATATGCCTTTTACTTTACATACGATCTGTTCCTCTCCAGACAAAGTAGTATATTTGTAGGCGTAGTTCTTAGGTCCTCCAGAAACAAACTCTGATATGAAACCCCCATTGAGCTCATCGGTCATATCACCTATGAAGTCGCCTGTAGATATGTCGTCTAATCCCTTACGAGAGATATAAATACATGAATCTGTATCTACGTAAACTGCCCTTTCTTCCACTTTCTCCAAGAATGAATATAATTTTAGTCTAGCTAGGGCCGTGACGTATGAAGCCAATACAACGTTAACCGTTGAAGAAACGTCATACACCTCTTCTCTAAATTCCCAAGTTACGAGAAGGGTTTCTTCGTTTACCGGGAGAACTGTATTTACATGAATAGAAGGATTAGTCAGCATATCAAAGAATTCACCACAGTCTCTGACTATCGAGGTTTTGTTTTGGTTTTCTTTTTGAGCAAATTTACCCCAAAAAGAATTCAGCATAAGTTTAGCTAACGATCTCAAACAGGGGTTCTCTATAATTTTTGAAAATTCCAGCTTTATGTCCTCTGTATCCAAAAATGCATCAATATAACGGTTTTTTTCTTCATCCGTTAAGCAATGTTTGGGCCATCCTGAAGCTTGTTGTTTTATTTGTAGAAACTTGTTCATCATTCCGCTAAATAACCCCTCTTGGTCTTTACTGAGCTGAATTGTATCGTATTCCCATATTTCGTAAGTCTCTATAATTTGGTAACCTTTTTCAATAGCTTTGAGCACCTCTTCTATCACCCAAGTTCCTTTTAGGCTTCTTTCTTGAATAGAATGCTGACACTCTTCTCGAACGAAATCTTCACCACATTTTTGACAGTTAACAAACATCAATTTGTTGTTCATTTTTGACGGTAAAACGGGGTGATATAAGTTCTGGTTCGGTAGAATCTGGCATTTAATAAGTCCTGACATCTGCGACAGAGAGGCTGTAACACATTCTTCACCTACGTAAATTTTTTTTGGATGACCCACCGGAAATTTTCCATATTTACAGATGAAGGGGTACAGGGAACATATATCGACATATTTTATGCATTCATTTGTTTTGATCTTGTAGTATTCAACGATATTTTCTGTACGTCCCCCGTAGAGAGCGTCTCTGGGGTTAATCGGTAAATTGATTATCAATGGATGTGCTTCTGTGAAGGCTCTAATTTCATCGTTTAGCATTCCTCGAAATTGACATTCCCATATCTCAATTACTTCTAGTCCAAGGCTTCGGAGTCTCTCTACTTTGCTAACTGATTGTTCGTATCGACTTTCCAATGTATTCAACGGATCATTATGCAGAGGATTGCTTCTGTTGTATTTGAAACATCGAGGGCAACCGTGAAAATAGCATCCTTGGAATTCAAACACTTGATTTGTGTCGCTACAAAAACCGTCTACTTTATGTCCCTTAACAATGGTTTCTATACCCTTAGCGGCGTGTTGAATTTTGATTCCTCTTTGATGTTCCTCCCACAACATCCATTGGATGGCAATTTTTGACTGATTTTCACGCCATCTATAGCCCCCTTTTGGAATTACCCCGATCGTCTCAGGTTTTAAAAAATTGCGTCTAAAGACTTTGTTACAGCATGATGCAATAGTGGTGCTTTCCTGGAAGGGATCGACTGTGGTTTCGGTTTTCATCAGGTCTCGAAATTTGAGACACGCCTGTGTCAATATTTCCACATCGGAGATACAGTATTCAACGATTTCTTTCTGAAAATCAAAAACGTATCCCTCCGCTTGTCTTTTGCCATGCCATTTTAATAATTTTTCTCGAGTGTCTTCTTTTAAATGGTCGGGATCGTAGAAGTCGAGCGCTGGAATTGGCCCTAGATAATTCTGATGAGCCAAAGTGTTGAATAGATGTGGAAAGTATCCTTTCTTTAGCTCTTTCAAATCAAACGCCTTGGGTAGAGCAGTTAGAGGCATAGGAAAATAATTGAGAGAATCCAGAAATTTTACATTTCCTACCTCCATCAATATTAATTTTGTTCCTCTCATAATTACATTTGGGTACAGACTAGTCTTCTCTAAAATGTAACGAAGTAGAAACTGATGATCAAATCCTCCACCATTATGCGCCAGTACAATGACTTTCTTGAATTTTTTACGAAGTGTCAGAATATGATGCATAAATGGAGAAATGACGTCTTGACATCGAAGAATCTGTAATCGAAGGCCACATTTCTTGCATATAGGATTATCGGTACATGATTCACAACATTGTTTGAATACACATAGATTTGGCTCATGAAGTAAAGATCCGTTGGGTAATTCCTTCTCCTGACGGGTTTCCAAATCGTAAAATATTAATAAGACATCATTTGATTTTGGAATACTTCTGTCAGGCTGTATATAGCACATATGTTCAATTGGTTGATTTTTATAACATGTTTTACAAAGTATATGTCCGCAGATGTGATTATTACCGTTGTGAACTTTAAAACAGTCTACACATCTTTTAATTTTAGAACAGACCGATGGTAAATGAGCGTTAAAACATTCTTGTCCATAAAAGCTTCTATTACATTCTTTGCATTCGATGTGCTTCGTTTTCAGGCAGGCCGGAGATCTTTTACAAGCATAACATTGTTTATCACATCTATGAATTTGTTTATTATTATACGGAATGTGGCAGTTCTCACAAAAATAGCTGCAGCAAAAGGCAGCAGTGAGGGATGTTATGACGCTGTAGTGCCCCTCGTGATAGATTAGGTTAAGCGTCGAACCAGTGGACACGCCTTCAAAAATGACGTCACGACCTTTGCACCCAAACTTGTATACAACAATTTTGTAGTTTTGCAGATATCGTTGTAGCTTTTGAAGTTCAGGTATTCCACACCCCTCCTCAGGGATAACAATATCAGCCTTTTCCACAAGTTGTGCAGCTCTTTGTCCTTGTATTTTTCCTCGATCGAGGCGGATTCTGCTATAATCTTTGTCTTTGTTCAAATGGGCCATGGCGATGACAAGGGCTCGTGGGAGACACAAATTATCGGTGTTTTTAACGGTGATAATACCTCTTCTTTTGGTGCATTCCTCATCAAAAGTATTGAAATTCTGACCTCTACCACGACCAGCAGGCAACCTTATGGACGTAACTCCCAAGCAAAAAGTCTCGGTATTCAACCCCACAGAATTTGACTGATAGATGGAAGATATCTTCTCCCATATGTCCTCATTTGAAACGTCGGAAAACGATTTAAAAGCTATCCACCCTTGACCGCGGGTAAAGTCTTTGGAACAGAAAGTGAATCCAACTTGATCACTGGGCTGGAGATGTTCAGTTCCTTTGGCTACTATTTCCTCCAGAGCGTCTTTGATCCATCCCACAGGTTCGACGTCTTTAGGGATAGGTCGTATTTTAAATTCCACTTCTCGCCCATATAGATTAAATTTTTTAATCTTCTTAGTAGAATCCTTAACGATGAAGAATTTTTCCATTTTTTTAAAAACTAAAACGTTAACTAGCGACTAAATCTGAACTGAGCACGTCTGTTCGCTGTAGCTAACTGACAAGATAATTTGCGATGATTCATAGGTATTTATAATCTCAATTATACCCCCACCACTTTTTAACTGACCACAGTGTTCCAAGGTCACCGCTGGCCGGTATTAACTAGTTGACAGCCTGCGCTCCCTGCCCATTCACCCATGCTTGACAGCCCCGCCCGGTACTTCTTGCATATCACAGCTACGACTACACCGGCGCTGAACCTAACCTCATTTGCGACGTAGGTGATTGCCTTGTTGGAATCTATTAGATACACAATATAGACTGTACTATGTTTTCAATATTGTATCAATGTTAAAAATTAACTAACATTAACTGTATGCACCACATATGAGCAATTCCATTTTTATATGCACACTGAATATGACGTGATGACTATTGAGATCATCCTATACGCATTGTTCTCCGCGAATTTTATACGTTTTTCCAATTAAACTGAATCCGCAGAATTGCATCTATAATTACCAGTATTCATCGGCTTTTATCGATCTATATGCAAATATTTACCGCAAAACATGAAATGAGTCACATCACTTACGCATAGACGTTATACTACACCTTACTATCGTTGGCTGTCTGAATCACTTCCGGTCGGGTGCGGCATCTAGCCCGCTAATCAACATATACCATCAACCCCGTTCAAATTTCCCGCCGTCTGATCCGCCAATCAGAGCACGCGGTGGATCTAGCGGTTCCCGCCAATCAACATATACCATCAACCCCGTTCAAATTTCCCGCCGTCTGATCCGCCAATCAGAGCACGCGGTGGGCGTGGCCAAAGTGGAAGTGGTGGGGGGTGTCCATAGTAGCCCATATTCTACTATTGCCTATTCGAGCAATTTAGAGGCCCGAGTACCAAATTCAAGTCACTTAGGGCGATACGTCGATCGTTCTCCTTTACGAAGAAAAAAATAATTATACATTTTTTTTTGTTTTTTAGGGAGGCTAAGATAGCTTCAGTCTAAAAAATCTGCCGAACGAGACATCAGATCGCAATTTGAATTCCTCAGACAATGGTACTTCAAAATATATATTATGGGGCCTAACGCTTTCCACGAGCATGAGACAATGGAAAAGCTAACTACACGCTAAAATTCATTAGTTTTCCGAAGGTTCTAACTTTGAGAGTGCCTCAAGACCGAACCGTTTGACCTAGGACCCCGAATTCAAAGATTCATGACTTGATAGGTACTCTTCAGGAAAAAATAAACAGTACTTTCACCTTTGATTACATCAGCTCGTTAAATAAAAAAACTGTCAGTGTTTCTGAAAAATCATGTTTTTTTCAACGGATTTGATATTTTTAGAAAGAGTTCATTTGGGTCGCTCGAGAAAATGTTCATTATATATGACTGTCTATGCCCAGAAAACAGCACTGAATAGCAGAAAACGTGCTAAAATATGTATGGTGCTCCAGTTTCATTTTGTATGCGATGCTGTGGTAAGAAAGGTTCTATAGAGTTTGAGGTTCAGTGGCCACGTTGTGTGTGTTATAACAATATATGACTTTTATTATCGACAAAGTCAAAATCGATTTTCCCGACTCAGCTCTAACTGAACTCAGCTGGATTCCAACCCTGGAGATTAATTTCGATGCCGTCATGCGAGTGATTCGCTGTGATAATTTCGACATCTGATTCTGAATGATTTATATAATTTATATATAGAAATAGTCATAGCAGTATCGAAAGAATCAAAGCGGATAATATGTATGATGGAAATTCGGTATCTAAGTTAATTTCAAATTCAATTAGAATCAGGTTAAAGTTCAGCTGAAAAAGCCTGTAGCGAAGATTTGAACATTCTGTCAATAATATTGTGACGTCATGAGGGCTATCTCTAGGAGAACTACGGAGTCTAGAACCTCGAAAACTAACCTCGATTGCTCTCGAACTTCCTAAGAAAATCAACAAGAGGCAACACAGGTATAAAGGCTCGGATCAAGACGTGAGTCAATAATCGGTAATGAGCAGTCCACGCGATCGCGACCGCGGCTGTGTTGTAAATCTAACATAAATTAGTGATAAGTGGAGTTGTCAATTAGTGCTGTTAAAAAGCAATAAATGGGTTTATTTATTAGATAGATGATTTCGTTAAAATATGTCAGTATACAACGCCGACCTCGGCGTGCCTGATGCCAACACTTCAGGCGTTACCGCTTTGCTATAAAGTTGTAAATGGGTATGAGGTACCTGTCTTGTTTTGTTCATACCACAAAATGAACTGAAACATCTGTTGCGTATGCTAAAATGACAGGCTCGTAAATTATCTACCACCATATAAAAACACACGGGAATATGGCAGCATTTTTATTGCAGTACTTTATAGGTAGCACGTATAGTCGTATATGCAACCTAAAAGGATACAAAACAACATAATTTTAAGTGAACCTAATATGAAAATTATTGAAAAAACTAGGACACTTGACATCTGTCATTTGTTTGAGATATCAGATTAACAATATTCTCTTGTTTTTAAATTTTTTTCAACGGATTCTTTTTCATCCAGACCTAATAAATTATTTAAAATAAGCTGCCCTGCACTCAAATAGAAGTTACCCTGAAAGTTACATTATTATATTGATTATGTCCAACAAGTGATTTCTGATAATCAGAAACTGTCTGGTACAGTTTCCCAAACAAACCGGTGCTATGATGTCTGCTTACAAGCTGAACTGATCTGGTCCACTGCAAATTGTCGTCCCAAGCTATCAGAAATTCATTATTGGAAAGAACAGAATACCTTACCATTATTACACACGGTTAAAAACTTTAGTGACATTGCGCTAGGTTATTCCACCCCTGATGATCAAAATGAGTTTACTATGGTGAACATCAGCATGTGATGACTCTTCTCTTACGGACAATCTTTGGACTTTTCAGTGGCAGTTTAAAGAAAATGACCTGTTTTGATAGTGCGCATGCGTCTGAACAATTCTCTTGCTCCTGCTGACAGTAAAACGGTCTGAAGATGTCTTTAAGCTCCTTTTAGTAGCTCATTAGGATTCCGTCTACGCGATTGCTTCAGTATGAGAAAATGTAAGACCTTAACTGCTTATGTTGTCAAAATTTCCTTGAATTATACAATAACGTTCAGAGGACATTTAAAAAGGTACCGTGACAAGATATGGTTAGACGCATTGCGGCTAAGCTACAAAAATTCGCGTTAATCACGATCACGAAAGCAGTTAAAAAACGGAACAATCACGTAAATTAAATATTCATTAATTTATTTACAAAATTTATGGGTGATCCGATTTTCACAAAATAAAATTGCATAGAATAAGCGGGAATAACATTTAGAACATGCAAGTTCACAAGACATAATTATAAAAATCACAGTATCAAAGATACTTTTCGTAGCCTGAGAGTGTAAAGGTAATGATGTCAATACCAGACTGAACCAAATTGATAAGACGGAAGTGCTCTATCGAGGAGGAGTGCTGACCATAATTTGTCGGATG